GCTAATAGTAGTCTTCCTATTTTGCTATTACTATTAGTAGTAATGAGCTTACATAGGTTGGAAATGCCATGCATCTATGCATGGTATTGATCTCATTAGCAAGAAGAAATCACCGCAAGCCATCATCTAAATGTTGTGCATGGTATCTTAGATTCAAAAGCTGTTGCTACTACTAATTTGAGTAGGGAAAGCAACAACATCAATTGAAATGAAATTGACATGGCCAACGATCAGGGGCGAAGCTAGGTTGAAGGTTGTGGGTGCCTAGGCAGACACAGAAATTTGAAAAACCACTATTAAAAACGAATTTTCATCATGGTTGCAGATCAAATTTTTACACCTATAAAAGAAAGGCACCCCCTCTAGTTTGCTCCAGCTTCGCCACTACCAACTATTCATTGCTAGCTAACCTTTGAAAGATGGTGTCTTGAATGAAGACCCAACACTTCTACCGCTACACGAACAAGTGATATCATTGCGCTTCCTAATCAAAGAGAAACTCGAGATTTGTGGTCATAAAACATTTCTTCTTGATGACATCCCCTTCAGGGCAAGCACGAATAGAAGACAAAGTTACATGTAGGTGTAGAACTAGAGAAGATAGTTTTCTCCATGGAAGAGAGTATGGCATGGTTTTTTATCGTGCTTGTTTTTATATATACGTAATTAGATTAATATATAATATCCGTGTGTTCTTGTTTGAATGAATGTAACAGCTAAACACTTTCATGTTCTCTGATTTGAGCAGTCTTTTCCCGTTTCTGAATGAAAAACACATCTGTTGATTTTTTTTCTTATTGCCGTTAATATCTGATCCGCTTGGCTATCCAAACCAACCTCCTTCCCTCCATAAACCGCGACGCCCAAACCTCCCCGCCCGGCGACGGCGATGCCATCCATGGCGTCTTCGGCAACCTCCTCCTCCTCCTCCCTCGCAGCAATTAGCCACCCCCATTTTCTCCCTACCAAGCCCGTCCCCCCTCCCAAACCACTCACCCACCCGCTCCCCGCGCGGCGTCCACCCAGCCCGCAGCTCGTCGGCGCCGCCTCCACCCCCCGCGCCTCCCAGGCGGAGCTCCGTCCGGACTCCAAGAACGCCCCCGCGCTGTCCGCCGAGCTCCACCGCCTCGCGCGCGCGGGGCGGCTCCCGTCCGCGCTCTCCCTCCTCGACCACCTCTCCCACCGTGGCGTCCCGGCCACCGCCTCCGCCTTCGCCGCGCTCCTCTCGGCCTGCCGCTCCCTCCCGCACGCGCGCCAGATCCACGCGCACCTCCGCGTCCACGGGCTGGACACCAACGAGTTCCTCCTCGCCAGGCTCGTCGAGCTCTACCTCGCGCTCGGCGCCACTGACGACGCGCGCGGGGTGCTCGACGGGATGCAGCAGCACGGCGCGAGCGCGACTGCCTACTCGTGGAACGCGCTCCTGCACGGGCACGTCCGCCGGGGACGCGGCAAGGCGGCGGGCCCCGTCGCCGACGCGTTCTCGGAGATGCGCGCCGCGGGGGCCGACGCCAATGAGTACACGTACGGCTGCGTGCTCAAGTCCATCTCCGGGAGCGCCAGGCCGTCGATGACCATGGCCACCGCCACGCATGCGACGCTCGTCAAGAACGCTTTCGCGGGCGCGCCCGGGATGCTCATGACTGGGCTCATGGACGTCTACTTCAAGTGCGGGAAGGTGAAGCTCGCGGTGAGGGTGTTCGAGGAGATGCCTGAGAGGGACGTGGTTGCGTGGGGGGCAGCCATTGCTGGGTTCGCACACAAGGGGATGAAGAAGGAGGCCTTGGAGCATTTCCGGTGGATGGTGGAGGATGGGGTCAAGGTGAATTGTGTGGTGCTCACATCAATTGTGCCCGTCATTGGAGAGTTGCGGGCGCGCAACTTGGGTAGAGAGGTTCATGGATTTGTGTTGAAGAAATTCGGAGATCGTAAAGATGTTGCAAAGGTCCAGGCGGGCTTGGTTGACATGTACTGCAAATGTGGTGATATGATCTCAGGTAGGCGAGTGTTCTATAGCAGCAAGAAGAGGAATGCTGTGTCGTGGACAGCTTTGATGTCTGGGTATGCATCCAATGGTAGGCCAGACCAGGCACTGAGGTGCATAGCTTGGATGCAGCAAGAAGGAATCAGGCCAGACCTCATTGCTGTGGGGACTGTTCTCCCAGTCTGCACAAAGTTGAAAGCCCTGAGGGAGGGGAAGCAGCTCCATGCATATGCTTTAAGGAGGTGGTTCTTGCCCAACGTCTCGTTATGCACATCACTGATCACCATGTACGGCACATGTGATCACTTGGAATACTCTCACCGAGTATTCCATGATATGGACAAGAAGACTGTACAAGCTTGGACTGCATTGGTTGATGCTTACCTCAAGAATGGAGACCCATTAACTGCTATTAATTTGTTCACATCTATGCTGCTGACAAACCGCAGGCCTGATGCTGTTGCCATCACCAGGATGTTGAGTGCCTGCTGTGATATTGGAGCATTACGACTCGGCAAGGAAGTGCACGGTCAGGTGCTAAAGTTGCGGATGGAACAACTCCCTTTAGTTGCAGCAGAAGTTGTAAACATGTATGGTAGGTGTGGAGACCTCAAAGCAGCACAGAGGGTTTTTAATCGAACAGAGTCCAAGGGATCCATGACCTGCACTGCGATAATAGAAGCTTATGCAGTCAACCAACGCCATAAGGAGGCGCTGCATCTCTTTACTTGGATGCTGTCAAACAAATTTGTTCCTACCAGGGCCACATTCGATGTGGTTCTGAAAATCTGCGATGCCGCAGGGTTGCACGATGAAGCCCTTGGAATTTTTAACTCTATGGTGCAAGAATACAACCTAGAAACATCCCAAGAGAATTTTGACTGCATCATCCGCCTCCTTACTGGTGCTGGCAGGATTTCTGAAGCACAGCGCTTTGCTGACCTGAAATCTACTCTGTTTAATTTACCAACTCCAGTTTTGAACTCTGAACAGGATTGATTTTGTACAGATTCTTTTCTTTCTACATTGTACTGGTATATGCTGTATGATTTTTCAAAGAGATACTGATAGTCCTTTTTTGTGGTTGTAAACCTGTTGCAAAGCAACATTCTTTGTGACCAACTGACAGTGCCATCACTTGTTGGGTGTGTAATTTACTAATTTGACATCAGTGCAGTAGCAAATTTTGAAGGAGAAATAATACTTTTAGCACTATCAATTGTTCGATTATACACTGTTTTCAGGAGTCCTTTTTTATAATATGCTAAAAGCAACAAAGTTGCCCTGCAAATGTCTAATTTAATATAGTCACATTACAATTTACAGAACCTTCTTTTGCTACAATAGTTTTTTAGATGGAACCATTTACCCCATTACCCACAGCCAAGTTGTTGGAGGTTAGGACATAGACAAAATTTGATGGTCCATGGCGCTGCCAAAGGACACTAATGAGTCACAGAGCTTTACTGTTATAGGTTCTAGACATTGCTCTCTCTCCCTCCCTGGTTCCTCACTGTCATTCTGTAGCTCTCTTGCATCTTTTGGAGCTAGGTCAGTGTCACACAATCCTTTTCTGTGGCAGGATTCATGTGCCGGACTTTGTTACTAGCTTGGCATACATCAATTTGAGTGGGGCTCAATGGTTATAGGAATCCTTTCCATCTCAAATATTTGGTTTGTTGTATTCAAGACTTCGGACTTAAATTCTACTGTATACACAAGCAGGACGAGATTTCTCTCATTCTTTGATTCACCTGATGCCCTCAGAAAGTTTAGAATCTTCTTTCACTTGAATATTCATAAATTTATATTGCGTAGTTGCTGTCCTGAACACCTTTCATATGCTTCCTGAATGTTGCACAAATTACTAATGATATTATGTTTTGATTTCACAGGGATAAGGGAATCTTCAGCAGAAAAACGAATGCTAATACGTGGGTGTAACAATGCACCAATTCTCACAAGCATCTAAGACGATACTAGCTCGACATAAATAATGAATAGGTAGTAATTCCTGTCCATCTATTGTTTTTATCTTTTCCATGACATGGTAATCAAACAACCAACTGTGTTTCCCTTTGCTCCTATCCTAGACACAAAAGAGGTATGAAAGAGAAGAAACATGACTGGTAACTATTTTTAGATAAGAAGCATAACCATTAGCTAATTTTAGCTCGCACAATATCTTCCATCCATTCCTTTCTGAACACCTGGTCGTTAGTAATTTCTAATGGTTTGGTTCGTTTCCTTTTGAGATTTTTTTTAATTTTTTTCGAGTATTGCCTTAGAGACAGAAAAAATAAAGAAATTTCTCTATGAAACTCCCTTGCTGTGAAATCCCTATCTGTTGTTTGCAATCCAACTTTGTTGTTTTTTATTGTTTCTTGCACTCACTCTTCTCTGTCCAATGACCGAAATGGGGAGTTGGGGTCACAATGGTTTACTGAAAAGAAAAAACAGATTGATACCTGGTTCTTGGTTCTTGTTGCTGGGATGCCTTCACACCAAGCTACAATTTTCATCATATTTGGCTGGTTTTTCCTGCTCCTGATCACATTTTCAAAGAGCTAATCATTGCCCACAATCAACTTACTGTCCATATGGTCAGAGTTCTGCTCCTCCCCAAGGTGAAGTTTTTATCACATCTAGTGATTCATATTAAATTATTTGAATTTCAAATAATTTGCGTGTTACATGGTTTTGATATATTAGTCTGATTCATATAATTCCAAACGTTTTTGCTGGCCTTCAAACTGTTACAATATGGTTCAATTTGACATGATTTTCGCGCATTTCAGTTTCTCTCCAATATCTATACAATCTGTGCCAGTTCACCTAATTTTTTCCCTGGAGAATAGGCCTGTGTTCTTTCTGCCCAAAAATGTCGAAGAAACTTGTAGTTTGTTTCTCAAGATCATAGGAAAAGCATAAAATAAAGAACTCATTTGATGTTCTTTCGGTAATTGTATGGTTACGAATACAATCAGGGTTGTAGCAAGCTTGGGAAGTTGAGGCAATGGTCATTTGTTGTCAACTGCAGAGATTAGCAAGAAAAACTGCAAAAATTGGTCTCAGTGCAATTAACTCGTTCAAGAAGAAGGCATTGCATCTTATGGGCTGCCTTTGCTCCAAAGGCGCCAAAGATGATGCCAATGCCACTTCTGGACGCAGAACACCATCAAGGAAAAGTGACTCTGCTGCTGATGCAGTTTCGAACAATGGCAGTACAGCAGTGCTTAATGCAAAGACCAAAGAAAAATTGTCTGGTGGAGAAAAAGTAGTAGTAGCTTTAGATGCTAGGATCAGCAGTGGTAACAATGCAGAGTTGAAGGGGCTCTCTGGTGAGCATGTAGTTACTGGTTGGCCATCTTGGCTCATAAATGTGGCACCTAAAGCAGTAGAAGGCTGGTTGCCTCGGCGAGCAGATTCATTTGAGAAATTGGCCAAGGTAAATTACTGAGTGAATAACTTTCTCACTGCATGCAAATTACTTGAATAATTGCATAGATTCTTTTATGTCGCAGATTGGGCAAGGAACTTACAGTATTGTGTATAAAGCCCGGGATCTCGAATCTGGGAAGATTGTTGCACTAAAAAAGGTGCGGTTTGTCAACATGGATCCTGAAAGCGTGCGCTTTATGGCTAGAGAAATCCACATTCTTCGAAGACTGGATCATCCGAATGTCATAAAGCTTGAAGGGATTGTAACATCTCGTGTGTCGCAGAACCTCTACCTTGTCTTCGAGTACATGGAACATGACCTTGCCGGTCTTGTTGCAACTCCAGGCCTCAAGCTCACTGAGCCGCAGGTGGTTTTCATACTACTCTTCCATCGATCGATCACTTGGAAAAGTTACATGAACTAAAACTATAACACAAATATCAGATAAAATGCTTCGTTCAGCAGCTGCTTCATGGCCTCGATCATTGCCACAAAAACGGGATTCTACATAGGGATATCAAAGGCTCAAACCTATTAATTGACAGCAATGGAATACTCAAGATTGGAGACTTTGGCTTGGCAATATCATATGATCCCAACAATCCGCAACCACTGACAAGCCGTGTTGTGACATTATGGTACAGACCACCGGAGCTTTTGCTGGGTGCCACAGAGTATGGTGCTGCGGTGGATATGTGGAGCACAGGATGCATTGTGGCAGAATTGTTTGCTAGCAAACCAATCATGCCAGGAAGAACTGAGGTATAGACTATTAGCTAGTATGTTGCTTTCAGACATCAATAGTAATAAACTGTAGGTTCTTTTTGCAGCTTCTGTTTGTCTTTATTGGTTGACCTCTAATATAATGAGCCCAATTATGCTAGGTGGAGCAAATTCACAAGATCTTTAAGCTATGTGGCTCCCCAAGTGAGAATTATTGCAAGAAATCAAAGGTGCCAGAAACAGCAATGTTCAAGCCTCAGCAGCAATATAGGCGGTGTGTTACCGAGACTCTCAAAGATTTACCCCCTTCAGCTGTACTTCTCATAGACTCATTGCTTTCACTAGAACCAGAAGTTCGTGGAACAGCCGCCTCAGCTCTTCAAAGTGATGTAAGTTTTGCACTTAACCTTTCGTGTACTGAGAGGCTTCCCAGAACTTGTGTTTGGATATGTAGCACTTATGCCATGCATGGTTCAACCTCTTTCAGTTTTTCAGAACCAAACCACTTGCTTGCGACCCTTCAAGCCTTCCAAAACTCCCACCAAGCAAAGAGTATGATGTTAGACTTAGGCAAGAAGAAGCGAGGAGGTACATGATGTGGACCTTATTTTCCCCTTCCATCTGTTGATTTGGGGTTCATTGTGATGCTGACGTTTGGTCTTCCTAATTCTGTTCATCTAGGCAAAGAAATGTGGCACTTGGCGGGCGAGGAGCTGAATCTATCAAACCTGGAAATGAGAATCATGTAGCCAGTCGCGCCATTGATATTGCTGCTGAAGTTAAGGTGAGTCTGATAGATGGTCCTTCCAAATTGCTTTAGTAGACTTTGTTACAAATCAGGATAGAAAAAAGAATCCGGTTAGAGAACAATTTTGGTAGCTCTATAAGCTCTATACTTGAAGGGCGGGCCTGGTGTAAGCGGTAGAGTCTTACCGCCTGTGACTGGAAGGTCCCGGGTTCGAGTCGCGGTCTCCTCGACATTGCAGCGAGGTAAGGCTTGCCATCGACACCTTCCCTGGACCCGCATGCAGGCGAGAGCTCTCTCTGACTGGAATGCGCCTTTATAATCTCTATACTTCTAATGTTGAGGGTGTTAGCCTAGTGCTGAACCCCATTCTGTATCTAGTTACCTATTACTATTTACTATTCCTTTCGAAGGTAGTTTTCAGGTTCCTTGGCAACCAAGTTGATCATGGTGCCTTGGCAACCAAGTAGAATTATAGCATCTACTTTTAGGCAGTTAGAATATGCCAGGTAGTAGGTACACCACTTGCCTATATATGCAGTGGTTAGCATCTTCTTTGTAACCAAGTTATCACCTGCACTTTCAATACAATCCAAGCGGCTTGTTGGTCAAGTTGCCCTCTGGCAGCCCCCAATTCACTTGTGTTCTAGTTCATGTTTGCAACAATTGGTATCTAGAGCCTGGTTAGGAGAGAGCAGGAGCCATGTCCACCTCCAGCGAGCGCGCCCTGAGAGCAGCAGCCGCTGCCGCCAACTCCAGTGGCGCAGCGGTGATCAACCCCCGCCCGGAGGCCGATCGTGCTTAGCGCTTGGCATGGGCAGAGAGCCGCAGCCCACGTCGAAAGCGATCGAGGCGGAGCGTGGCGGCGGGCAAAGCGCCCAACAAAGCGGCCAACACGGCCGCTGCGCTGCGTCAGGAGTTGGAGCGGCAGCCCAGGGAGTCATCACAGAGTCCAGAGCGCCGTCGTCGGATCCTGTCGCCATCTCCGGAGCACCGTCGCAGACGCGGAGGCCGTCGCGGGTCGCCAGTGGCCGTGCAGACGGTGTACAAGGACTCCGGCACGGGGACGCCATGGCCGATGCTGACAAAGACGAACTACCACGAGTGGAGTTTGTTGATGAAGGTGAAGATGCAGGCGCGCCAGCTCTGGGACGCCATCGAGTACGGCAACCTCCCGTACCACGACGACCGGCGCGCGCTGGAGGCCATCATCGCCGGAGTTCCGCCGGAGATGAGAGCTCCGCTCGCGGACAAGGCGTCGGCCAAGGAGGCATGGGACTCCATCGCCGCGGCGCGCATCGGCGTCGACCGCGTCCGCCACGCCACGCTGCAGCGACTACGCAAGGAGTGGGAGAACCTCGCCTTCCGTCCCGGAGAGCAGATCGAGGACTTCGCCCTTCGCCTATCCACGCTGAAGTAGCAGATGGCCCGCCACGGCGACAAGGACCTCGACGAGGAGCGGGCGGTGGAGAAGCTTCTTCGCAAGGCGCCGAAGAAGTACGCCCAGCTCAAGATCGCCATTGAGACTCTTCTCGACTTCCAGGACCTCACCATCGAGGTCACCGGGAGGCTGAAGACGGTGGACAATCTGGAGGAGTCTGCGTCCGAGCCCATCTCCGTCGGCGGGAAGCTCATGCTCATTGAGTAGTGGCTCGCTCAGCAGAAGGAGAAGAAGGGTGGGAACGGCTCCGGCTCGTCAAGCTCGTCCAAGGAACCCCGTCGGCGGCCACGCGGAGGCAGGAAGACGAAGCCCAAGGGAGAGCGCGGCGACCGTGGCGGTGGCGGGCAAGGAGAGAAGGCTGGTGGTGCCGGCGGCGAACGCAAGGCGAACCGCGACGACACCTGCCTCAACTGCCATCGCGCCGGCCATTGGGCGAAGGACTGCCCTCAGCCCTGACGCGAGCATGGTGGCGCAGCGCACGTCGCGGAGGTGGATGATGACGAGGCAGCTCTCTTCCCCGCGCACGGCTTCCTTGAGCTGGATGAAGAGCCGGCCATCATCTGCTCCAAGGCGGACGCCAACCTCGACATCAACGAGCCTCGAGCCCGGGCGTTCCAGAACACCGGCTCCGGCGAGGACAAGCTAGACGGCTGGTACCTCGACAGCGGCTCCACCCACCACATGACTGGCCATCGCGAGCTGTTCTCCGACCTCGACACCTCTGTTCGTGGCTCGGTGCGGTTCGGCGACGCGTCAAGGGTGGAGATCCAAGGCGTCGGCTCCATCATGTTCCAAGCCAAGACCGGCGGCGAATACAGAGTTCTGCACGGCGTCTACTTCATCCCGGCGCTGCGCAACTCCATGAGCCTCGGCCAGCTCGACCAGGGTGGGTCCAAGGTGGAGAACAACAAGGGCGTGCTTTGCATCTAGGATCGACGCGGGCGCCTCCTCGTCAAGGTCAACCGCGGGCCCAGCCGCCTCTACATCCTCCATCTTGAGGCCGCGCAGCCGCTCTGCCTCGCCGCAAGGAAGGACGACGAAGCCTGGCGCTGGCACGAGCGGTTCGGCCACCTCCACTTCGAGGCGCTGCATCAGCTCAGCAAGCAATCCATGGTGCGCGACATGCCAGTGATCAAGCACGCCGAGCAGGTCTGCGACACCTACGTCATGACGAAGCAGCGCCGGCGCCCTTTCCCTCAGCAGGCCCAGTACCGTGCGTAGGAGAATTAGAGCTCGTCCACGGCGACCTTTGCGGGCCCGTGACGCTGGCGACTCCAGGCGGGCGGCGCTACTTCCTCCTGATGGTGGACGACGCGTCCCGCTTCATGTGGGTCGTCCTACTGCCGTCCAAGGATGCCGTCGCGGATGTCTTGAAGAAGGTCAAGGCCGCGGCAGAGAAAGAGAGCGGTCGCGAGCTCCGGGTGCTGCGCACCGACAACGGCGGCGAATTCACCGTTGCAGAGTTCACCGACTACTGCGCGGGGGAGGGCATCCAGCGCCACTTCTCGGCGCCTCACTCGCCGCAGCAGAACGGCGTGGTGGAACGCCAGAACCAAACCGCGGTGGCCACCGCCCAGGCGCTGCTGAAGCAAAGGAGGATGCCGGCCAAGTATTGGGGGGAGGCGGTGATGACGGCAGTTCATCTGCTCAATCGCTCGCCGACAAGGAGCTTGCAAGGCAAGACCCCCTACGAGGCTCGGCACGGGCGCACGCCGGCGGTGAGTCACCTGAAGACCTTCGACTGCGTCGCGTACACCAAGGACCTAGGCTAGCTCCGCAAGCTTGATGACCGCGGCAAGCCCAGCGTCTTCATCGGCTACGCGGAAGGGGCCAAAGTGTACCACATCCTCGATCCGTTGACGCAGCGGGTGAAGGTCAGCCACGACGTCGTCTTCGATGAAGGGCGCGGCTAGGACTGGTCCACTCCGGACGCCGACAGCTCGGCCTCGGCGGCAAGTGACTTCGTCGTCGAGTATTGGGTACCTGGAGGAGCCAAGGGAGCACAGGGTGCTACCCCAGTGGCAGCCGGAACAACATCGTCGGCGCCATCATCTCTCGCCATCACCAAGTTCGGGGGAGCCCGGAGGGACATCGGCGGCAGCGGCTACTCCACCAACGTCCCAGCCGACCTCGCCGGCACCATCACCAGCAACTCCTGCTGCGCCTACCGCTTCACCAACCTCGCCGGCGGCAGCAGTCGAGTCTGGTGATCAAGTGGAGTTCGCCACTCCACTGGAGGATGATGAAGACAGGCTCGACGCCTACTACGACAACGAGCCGCTGCGGTACCGCACCATGATGAACATCATCGGTGATCATCCTCCACCCCCGCCTCAACGCCTTTTCGCTGAGCTGCACCTGACGCACACCGGCGAGCCTGCCAACTTCGCCGAGGCCAAGGATGATCCGACATGGTGGGCGGCAATGGAGCAAGAGCTCAAGGCGGTGGAGCAGAACCGCACCTGGGAGTTGCGCTGGCGGCTCAAGAAGGCTGGCGCGTCCACCACATGGATGTCAAATCCGCCTTCCTCAACGGCGACCTCAAGGAGGAGGTGTACGTGCAGTAGCCACCAGGCTACGCCATCGCCGGAGAAGAGGGGAAGGTCTACCGCCTCCGCAAGGCTCTCTACAGTCTGCGGTAGGCTCCGCGCGCCTGGAACGCCAAGCTGGACGCCACACTCAAGGAGATGGGCTTCCAGTAAAGCGCTCACGAGGCGGCGATGTACCGGCGGGGCAGTGGACGCTCTGCCCTGCTCGTCGGCGTCTATGTCGACGACTTGATCATCACCGGCGCGGAAGAGCGAGAAGTTGAGGCGTTCAAGGCTCAAATGAAGAAGACCTTCGACATGAGCGACCTCGGCCTCCTCAGCTTCTACCTCGGCGTCGAGGTGCATCAAGATGCCACCGGGATCACTCTTCGGCAGACCCACTACGCCAAGAGGATTCTGGAGCTCGGGGGAATGGCTGGCTGCAACCCTGCCCATACTCCAATGGAGGAACGGCTAAGGCTTAGCAGGCACAGCACGGCCACAGAGGTCGACCCCACTCACTACCGGCGCCTCATCGGCAGTCTGCGCTACCTGGTGCACACTCGTCCCGATTTGCCGTTCGACGTCGGCTTCGTCAGCCGGTTCATGGAGTGGCCTACGGTGGAGCACCAAGGAGCTGTCAAGCACATCCTTCGCTATGTTGCTGGCACGCTCGACTACGGTCTGCACTTCACCAAGGCGCCCGGCACAGCTCGCTTCGTCGGCTACTGCAACAGCGACCTCGTCGGCGACATCGACACAAGCAAGAGCACGAGCGGAACACTGTTCTTCCTCGGCAGTTGCTTGGTCAGCTGGCAATCGATCAAGCAGAAGGTGGTGATGCTCTCCAGCTGTGAAGCCGAGTACATTGCCACCTCTACTGCTGCAACTCAAGCTCTGTGGCTCTCAAGGCTGCTAGCTGAACTCCTCGGCAGACACGTCGAGGTGGTGGAGCTGAAGGTGTACAACAAGTCTGCCCTCGCCCTGGCCTAGAATCCAGTCTTCCATGAGAGAAGCAAGCACATCAGGATCAAGTACCACTTCATCCGCAACTGCCTGGAAGATGGAAGCATCAAGGCCGATCACAATTTCACTACTGATCAGCTTGCAGACATTCTCACCAAGTCTCTGGGCAAGGCCAAATTTGAAGAGATGATGGGGAGAATTGGCCTGAAGCAGTTCATCCCCAAGATGCACAAGGCTAAGGGGGAGAACTGAGGGTGTTAGCCTAGTGCTGAACCCCATTCTGTATCTAGTTACCTATTACTATTTACTATTCACTGTAAGGTAGTTTTCAGGTTCCTTGGCAACCAAGTTGATCATGGTGCCTTGGCAACCAGGTAGAATTATAGCATCTGCTTTTAGGCAGTTAGAATATGCCAGGTAGTAGGTACATCACTTGCCTATATATGTAGTGGTTAGCATCTTCTTTGTAACCAAGTTATCACCTGCACTTTCAATACAATCCAAGCGGCCTGTTGGCCAAGCTGCCCTCTGGCAGCCCCCAATTCACTTGTGTTCTAGTTCATGTTTGCAACAAATGTTAGAGTTCAATGCCTAAAACTATAGCAAGATTAAAGAGCGGTTACTCAAAGAATGGCATCTTAACCATATCAATGCATCATCTCCTATAGACTTGTACAATCAGGAGTGCATTAACCACCTCTGTTGTCACCTTGCAGCAACCCACACATAACACTTCGAAGAGCACCTGTGAGAAGTTCAACACCGAGGACAGTGTGCCAGGGTTCCGGGTAGAGCCGCGGGCATTGCCAACCTCAATGCAGGTTCCTGAATGTGGAACCACATGGAATAACACAGGGGGTTACGCCAATCATCGTTCGGTTCTCGGTCGTGTTTACAGCTCTGTTCGTGTTGCGAGGAAGAAAGGATCATCAAATTCAAATATACCGCAGTATGACGCTGCAGATTTGAGGAATGGTATTGAGATTACTGATCACAACCAGCAAGCAGATAGGCCTGTCTCTTCTCAGAAGAAGGACCAGCAGGTTAGTACTCTACTGTTTTTTTTTTTTTTTTTTTTTTTTGGGGGGGGGTTACGTTAGTACTCTACTGTTAGGAATGCAGACTACACTAGGCATTTCTTTCATTTCACTTCAATTTGTATCTTATGTATGTGAATTGTTGTGATCAGGACCATGGAAGAAAGTACAAAAGGATCCACTACTCTGGGCCATTGATGCCACCAGGTGGGAACATCGATGAGATGCTCAAGGAGCATGAGAGGCACATCCAAGAAGCGGTGCGCAAAGCGCGCCTCTCTAAGGGAAGCAAATAGCTAGGAGAGAACATAGAGCAGCTGAAGGTCCTAGGAGAAGATGAAGCAGGGTTCAATGGTGCGGCTGACTGTTTTAGCACTAGGAATGCCAAAATAGCACTCATCAGTAAAGCTGTCATATCAAGCTGTTGCAAGAGTTGTGACATGTAACATGGTCAGGCTAGGATCAAAAAAAAAAAAACATGGTCAAGCTATATTGGTCAATACCATTGAAGATTAGTAAGATGGAAGCATCATAATATAACAGAGCATGAGTGGATTACATCGCAAATATCAGTAAGTTCATAGGTAGGATCATCTTTTAAAATTGAAGAGTGCAGAGAAATCGTGAAGGGGAATTGCAGAGCCTGGGTCAATAGATTTTTTTTCCCCATTATTTTGTAAAGAGGAGCACAAGAATTTAGTTTTTTTTTGTAAGTTTTGATGCAGTTATAATGTTGCCACTGTAAAGTTGTTCATCCATTTTTCTGACAACTCTGGATTATGAAAAATAACAGGAGCTGGATTTGAAACTTCAAACGAACAGTCTCGTGGCTCTTCAGGACCTGATCGCAGCATGAGGATGAAGCAGCTAGAACAGCATGATGTGTATAAGGATACTTAAATTCTTATCGAATGAGGAGTCAATGCTAATTATCAGTCTATCACGAGCATCAGATAGTAAGTGGAAAAACTTACAATCTGAAAAGGTGGAATCGGCATTTCGAAATTGAAAGTTTGGAAGAAAACCATTGCTGTGGCTCCTAAAAAAAAGTCACTGTTTCTTATGCACATTTAGAGTATTATCATCAGGTTCTGAATTCTGAAGCTTTGGAAGTTTATGTAAAAGGATTGCTAAGCCATATCACCAGCTAAAACTTGAACACATTTGTTAAGGGAGTAAATAAATCTCAGTTTCTTTGTACTCACAGATTTACCACAACAGTGGTGGTGTCTTGTAACATTGTTGCACACCACTAGCGAACTGTTTAAGCTATGAACATTGTGGATGGAGTAACACTACAGATGAATTTCACAAGTTCTGGATTCCATCAAACTCAGTATGTTCATACAACAGGCAACATCGGTTCTCTATGCACTGACATTTGCAGAAGAATCACGACTGATACGAATTGAGTGATTTTCCATAGAAAATTGACACAGCCAACAGAAGCCCACCACAAACGTCAACCTTCAGGAATACAAAGCCGTAGGGTGGGGACACCAGAGGATTTCTTCTCTTTCCTCAAGTGTTGTTTTTTTTTTAGATCAAGGGTTTGGGAACGCTGGTAACAGAAAACTAAGAGTTAGCAGAGAGATCAGTTGCAAAGAGATAGTGAAAAATAACAAAAATGAACCTAGTGCCAGTATTCACCTACCATTTTTGAAGCAGTGAGGCTCAGTTCTCACTGGGACCAAATTGTTTCTGTATATCACTGAATGATATGGTCGCAGAACCCCTTCTCTTAGTCTTTTGCTGTGATGGATGCTCCCTCCAGCCAGTCATGTAAATTACCTGCGCAAAAAAAGAAAATATTTGGCAATCAGTAGCCCAGTTTGTGTATCATTTAGAGGATTAATTATCTCTAGCCCAGATCAATTCGATTTTGCTGGAAAAAAAAGGATTTTGCTGAATCAGTTCAGGTTCAAATAAAGGTAAAATGTGTTGTGCTCTACTCTAATGAGGCAAGTACAGAACTTGAAAGGTTGCAGGAATAGATCCGTCTTCTAACCCAAACATTGACTGGTAAATTGCTGCCGTTGCCAAGGCTGTATCCCTTTTCAACACCTGATAACACAAAATCATTCCAAGTTCAATTACTAGGATAACTAAAACAATTAGATTCAGACACCTTTTGATAAGCGAGTATGATATGTAAGATACTCGCAGGATTTCTTTGAAAGAGAGCATTTGTTTCCCCCATTGCTCTAAGATGTTCAACAAGTTCCAAAGCTAGTTGACCAAAGTAGCAAAAGCATCAGCATGGGTAGGTAACCCGTAAATCTCCATAATCAAAGTCAGCATATTTCTTTGATACTGGGTGAACTCTTATAGCATATATTATTTCTAAACTGAATACAGGAAGGACTATTGCTATCTGATAGATGTACAGCAATCACACAAAAACCAAGCATAAAAGTTGAAATACATGTTTATTCTACCATCATGTAATATTGTAAGGAAAAGAGAAGTTGGACAATACACATCACTATTTTGTTTCAAAAAAAAATACACATCACTATAAGAAATTTAGGTTTTATTTTTCTACAAACCATTATTGTATTTAACGGTATACTGATCAACATCAACTCCTGGAAGGGTGAAACCTGCCCTTGTCAAAAGGTTTCCTGCATCACGGACCTTGAAAAGTGCAATAAAAAGCCACAGTTAAAACAAATGGACATATAACAGGATAAGATAGAGTAGTTGTATGCATGTAAGATTCATTCTGACTGTGGTAAAAGTCTGCATAGTCTATTGAAATAGTGACTTTACCATGAAGTGGTATAACAAATATGTAAAGGGAGTACAAACAAATATCCTTATCAAAATTCAGAACAGCCATACTTGTGCTAAAGGGGACATTCGAGGACTGATGCCTCCTTCGCGTTCCATTTGAGCAACTGTGCATGCAATTCTAAGCTCCCTACAACAACAACAACAACAACAACATAGCCTTTAAGGAAGTAAAAAAATCGAGGCAAGATAAGGAAGTAAAAAAAATGACAACAAATGGAAAATTCAAGTTTTGTCTACAATTTGACAGGTTATCACTTCAGTGTTTCTCCACCAAGAATTGCTGCCAGAAAAAGGCCATCAGGTTGCAACGCTAGCCTACACTGCAAGGAAAAGGTAACAGTTAACCAGCTATAGATAGTCAAGGTATTCCTTTTTTGTAAATAACTGGCCATTATAGGAACATAGTAATATAAACTGGCTCGGGTTACCTGTATCATTGCTCCAGGTAGATCATTTGTCCAATGAAGTCCAAGACAGCTTATTATCAAATCCTGTGAACTTCAGAACCCATGAACCACACTAATGAGTGAATGTTGCAAGATCTGCCTGTGTGTTTATAATTATGCTTTTGACACTACAAGTGACTCACTCAGGCACAAGAATAAAAAATCACACAAGCATGAAGCAATTACATTTTTTCTCATGCATCATGTATGCTATGATCTATAAGCAAGGTGGGAGGAGAGAAGTTGAAAGCTGAACTGCTGAAGGAAAGAATACTGTTTCTTTTTTGCAAGAGAATTGGAAAGATAAACATCTGCTTTTTTTTCATATTCAATTCTATATGTTATAAATTTTAAGTCGTGGTCGTTCAACTGCACAATATCACCTGTGTACAGCTGGCAGTTGATTGGCAGACCCCATGGGAGGTACATTGCAATCTCGGCAAAGTAGTTGTGGGTTTTGTACATTTTACTCTCAATATCATGAATACAGTACATGAAATTGAAACCACCAAGAAAGTGAAGTCACCTCTCTTTGATTGGAAGGAACTCATCACCGACAACAAAGTGCGTCTCAGGTTCGTCACCAGTGGCATTCTCTGACTCTCGCCACTTCTTCACCATGTCGGCTGACATGTCCATCATGATCAACCTCTCAATTCCACCTGCGACAAAGGCATTCAGTTCATTTCCGTGCAAAATTGGCGGAATCTTGATGGCGGCATGGCGCGATCTGGTGACGAGTACAAAATAAAGAAGCGCACAAGAAGACTCGGAGCAGGATGCAAGGTGGCTCACCGCGGCCGCGGAGCAAGCGGCGGACGGCACAGGCGGAGCCCCCGAGGCAGAGCGCGGAGGGGAAGGCTTTCCTGCAGTCCTAGAGGCGGTCGAGGAGGTTTTCGGCGACGGCATCCACGAGCCCGTCGGTCTCACGCATCGTCCACGCCGCGCGGTCCCGGTGCCGGCGTTTCAGGTCGCGGTCGAAGATCTTGACGCGGCCGCCGCAACCGCTGTCGTCGAGGCCGTCGGCAGCGGACGAGGAAGAGAAGTGGCATTTGGGGAGAAGGTGACCATGGCGGTGGCGGAGGAGGAGAAGGCGGCGAGCGGCGGCGGCCGAGGAAGCCATCGGGACTCGGAGCACCGGCGATGGAGGAGATGCTGCCACGATTGCTGGGAGCCTTTTGGGCCTCGTTATTGGGCTTTTCTCGAGCACAAAGTCCTAACTGGGCTACTTTGTTTGTTTTAACCTTTTTTTATATTCTTGTTTATAATTTTGTTTTTTTTAAATGAGCAAAACTTCTGGTTTTTACTTAGTACCGAGACATAATATAGATCTAGACAGTAAAAATCATGTACATAAAAAAGTCAAAACCATTTACAATCGAATGGAGTAGTATTTAGTTAATTACTGATGAACTAAGGCAAGTGTGTGCTTGCGTGCACTATTGCAGAAATGTTATCATCACTGGCTCATAACCTTCCAGCACCACAGGTTTTGACCCTTGACAATGATATATCATTGATGATGACCATGGTTATCACCGTAAAAAAGCAAAAAAAAAAAATCTCGAGGAAAGACACCCTCATGATCACAAGTCACAAAGTCATGTGGTTTTCGCGCAGTGGCGGATCCACCAATCTGGCGAGGCCTGGCGGCCGCCAAACCTCCCCGCCGGCGAGACTACCCACCCTCGCCGCTCCCTCAGTCATGGCCGGCGGCACCAGAAGAACACGAAGCCGAGGAAGACGAAGGTCCAACTGTCGAAGCGTTATTTTCACTCGAGTCTTGACCGCACCTGGGCTGGGCCTGTACCCGTCCGTATGAAGCCCATGTAGTAGAAGGTCTGCCTGTGCGTCTAGCTCCGTGGTCGTGGGCGTCGTTTCAGTTTCCAATCTCACCTCCGTTCAGTTCAGCGCCTCCTGCCCTGCTGCTGTGTGCCTGTGCCGACGGCCGACGGCGATTGCACATTTGCACGTATGCACTGCTGGCCTGCTAGGAGTACGCTGCTCTGCTTCTGCTGGAAAGTTAAGCGATGGATAGTTCTGATGCAGCAGCAACACAAAGGGGAAAAAGAGAAAAGGTAAGTGAAATTGATTGAACCTATTGCGAATTTGATTGGCCTGTACTTCAGCAGTTGCTTTACTGAATTTCTTTAATTGATAGTTGTAGGCTTGAACAGATACTTTAATTGATAGTTTGGTTTCATCTTTTAGAGTTTAGAAACATCAATTATGAGACTGTGACATGGTTTATGGATATATATATAAGTATATCGTTGTTTTCCATGCTATTATCTTCTATATTTCTATAAAATCGCTTCAAAATTAGCGGTCCAAAGTTCGCCATAGGTCATTTTTTGTCCTGGATCTGCCACTGTTTTTGCGTCACTTGGCATATGGGAGATGAGGAGACTCTGCTTTGGTGGAGAAGCTCCCAAAGTAGACACATTAGTGACTAGGAGAGCGGGGTGACAAGTGTTGAGCCTTAGTGGCTTACGACACCCGTCTTGGTTAACGGTGGCTTCTGTTCCTTACCCAACACCGTGCCCGAGGTAAGGCTTGGTGACCCGGATCATATCCTTTGTGGAGCACCAATGCGGACTAAGGGTTGTGTTTTGATAACCAATATCACAAGACAAATCTTCATCTCCAGGAGTTTGCCCTCTCTTGACTTGCTCTTTACCTTACACACTTAAGCTACCGCATTGTGCTTGTTTTGTGTGGCCTTCATTTTTCCTAGATTAACATAAGCTACTTGTAGGATTATCTCTAGGTTACAAAACTCTTTATAGATTGGTTAAGATAGAGCACACTAGACAAACCTAAGGTGCACATCATGCTAGTTCATTTATGTTGTTTCTAGTGGAGAAGTTGAGCTCGATGAGGTGTTAGTTATTAAGTGACTCAATTTTCCTCCTCTTGGGCTCATGCGCCCCTTCAGTAGTGGGCGAGGGGAAGAAGAAGAATATCTAAGCTATTTATTTGTTAAACAAGGATTATGAGAGCAAATAGGTCTCGAAAAATTGTGATAGATTGATATGGGTACAGAGAGTACATTATATAGGCAAGGATCAGTAAGGGTTTATAGAAACACCCAATCAACGGTGATCCTTGCCTAATTAATAATCATCTACCATAATCCCTAGAGGCAGCCCAACCAATAGGCTTGGACGACAGGCCCATGGCCAACCCATAGGCGCCTATTCTAACACGTCCCCGTAGTCGAATCGTCAGCCACTCTGCACGTTTAGACTGGACCTAAACTCCGTGAACACTGAAGAAGGCAGCCCTTTGGTGAAGATATCCACATATTGTGAAGAAGTGGGAACATGCAGAACACGAAGATCACCAATGGCGACTCGCTCCCGGACGAAGTGAAGATCAATCTCAATGTGCTTAGTTCGCTAATGTTGTATCGGGTTGGAGGTCACGTAGACAGCACTAATGTTGTCGCAATACACCAGTGTGGTGCTTCGGAGAGGTGCATGCAGCTCTAGAAGAAGCTGGCTCAGCCAGGTGGCCTCAGCAACTCCATTGGCCACCGCGCGATACTCGGCTTCAGCACTAGATCTTGACACCGTGTTCTAGCGCTTGGAGGACCAGGAGACAAGATTGTCGCCAAGAAACACAGCATAGCCCGAGGTGGACTTGCGGGTGTCTGGACAACCAGCCCAATCAGCGTCGGTGTAGACGACAAGATCAGCCGAAGTAGACGGTCGTAGCAGAAGACCAAGGTGGAGAGTGCCTCGAACATAGCGTAGAATCCGCTTCAGAGCTGCAAGGTGAGGCTCACGAGGGTCATGCATATGAAGATAGACTTGCTGCACAGCATATGCAATATCCCGCAAGGTGAACATTAGGTACTGTAAGGCTCCAGCGAGGCTGCGAAAGTCTGAAGGGTCAGAGACAGGGGTGCCATCTGCTGCAGCAATCTTCGGATTGGTGTCAATTAGAGTGGAACACGGCTTACACTCTGCCATCCCGACGCGGTCAAGAATGTCCAGCATATATTGTCACTGAGAAAGAAGAAGGCCATCACCACTACGCTGAACATGCATACCGAGGAAGTAATGCAGTTCACCAAGATCCTTCATAGCGAACTCCCGCTAAAGGGCTGAGATGATCCGTCGGAGAAGGCCGGTTGAGGAGGCTGTGAGGACGATGTCATCAACATAGAGCAACAGGTAAGCTGTGTCTGATCCACGCTGGTAAACGAAGAGTGAGGTGTCTGACTTGGCTTCATCAAACCCAAGGGACAGCAAGTGTGTGGCCATGCGACTGTACCAAGCACGAGGGGCCTGCTTGAGGCCATATAGCGACTTCTTCAGGTGACAAACATAGTTCGGATGAGCTGGATCTTTGAACCCAGACGGCTGCTGACAATAAACTGTCTCTGTCAGGTTGCCATGAAGAAAGGCGTTCTTCACATCAAGCTGGTGGATGGGCCAATGGCGAGAGAGAGCCAAGGAGAGCACCGTGCGAACAGTAGCAGGCTTCACCACGGGACTGAATGTCTCATCAAAGTCTACACCAGGCCGCTGGGTAAAGCCACGGAGAACCCAGCGCGCCTTATGCCTTTCGAGGGAGCCATTAGACTGAAACTTGTGCTTGAAGATCCACTTGCCGGTGACGACGTTGGCCCGAGGGGGGCGAGGCACGAGATCCCAAGTGTGATTCTTCAGCAGGGCACTATGTTCCTCTTCCATTGTAGCTCGCCACATGGGGTCGGCAAGAGCGCTACGGAAGGTCTTCGGTATCGGTGACATAGACGTAGCGTGGTAGTGCGCGAGCATCCAAAACCGCTCTTCGAATGTGTGCCCATGGCGTGCTGGTTGGTCACAGGAGGGACAAACAATGCCCCTTTAGGCGATGGGGGCGATCTGCGGCGGATGCAAAGCTGACTTGGGCGGTGGTGGTCTGCGAGTGCCGGGCGGCGGTGATGAGGAAAGCGATTGGAGCAAAGGTTGTGGTCGAGGCCGACGCGTGTAGTGGTAGGCAAAGGTGTAGTCTGGATGAAGAGGCGAGAAACGGCGAGGGGCCCACGGGTGCTCGAGGAGGTGACACCGTGTATTTTGTGGAGCCAATGATCGGTCTTTGAGACTCTCTGAGCTCACTTGAAGCATTGGCGGGATGTACAGCTGGCGAGGTTGAGTGCCTCCAGTCATGCTGGGCGTGTCCTGAGCTACGCGTGGAGTGGGAGGGGTCCCTGGCGTCCGCTTGTGCAGCAAGATGTAGAGCGCTTGGCGTCGGGGATCAGAAGTGTCTGGCTGGGGATCGATGCTTGACCACCGGAGGCGTCGGGGACACCCTAGGCACAGTCTTAGAGGGACTGGTAGGGGCGCTGGTGACGTCAGAGGTGCTGGATGGTGTTCCTGCAGATAAAAACTTGTGCAACGGTCCAATAGGAGCGGGCACAACATCAGTAGCATCAAGAAACTCAAAGTCCATCGGAATACTAGGACCATTGTGCTCAGCAAAGGGGAAGGCCATTTCATCGAAGATGACGTGCCGGGAGATGATGACTCTATTGGTGGAGAGGTCAAGGTAGCGGTATCCTTTGTGGTGAGCGGAATAGCCTAGGAAGACGCACAAGGCAGACCTAGGAGCGAGTTTATGAGGAGCGGTGGCGGACAGGTTTGGATAACACTTGCAGCCAAAGACTCATAGGTGATCATACGCCGACGGCGTGCCATAGAGGGCAAGGTGGGGCGTGGAAAACTGTAGAGTCTTGGTGGGCAGTATGTTAAGCAAAAGGGTCGCTGTGGAGAGGGCCTCCACACAATAGGAGGGAGGCATAGACGCCTAAAAAAGCAGTGAGCGAACGACATTATTGATGGAGCGAATAATGCGTTCGGCTTTACCATTTTGAGGCGAGGTGTAGGGGTAGGACATACGAAGATGGATGCCCTGTGTGAGGAAGAAGTGATGGGTGCTAGAGTTGTCAAACTCTTTCCCATTGTCGCACTGGACAGCCTTGACGTGGGCGCCAAATTGGGTGTAGGCGTGGGTGATGAAGTGGGCAAGCGTACTGTAAGTGTCAGATTTGAGTTGCAAAGGAAAAGTCCACAAGTAGTGAGTGCAATCATCAAGTATGACCAAATAGTATTTATAACCAGAAACACTGAC